AAGGAGGACAGATAGAAGCAAAAAGGAGAGAGAAGCCAAAAAAGGCAAGAAACAAATAACAATCTAACTCTTCTAGTTCATCCAATCTGAGAGATGATAATCTCTAATGCACATAGCATAAGAACGCATAGTTCTAAACTCCACTCAAGCTCATGTTTATCAACTGTCTTGATCGTCGGAGTAACTACGGGGAACCGGTTCCCGTCCTGTCACGAGTTATTTTTGTCTGTGCAGCGCGGACATCAGACCCTCGTTCAAGAACTAGGCATAAAGCTGGAGAAGAGAATGTGTCCTCCATAATCCTTCACCACCTCGCAACAATCCTCTTTTAGATTAATTGGCTGTTAGTATTAATTAATTATATTGTATGCCACTTCAAGTTTGTCTAACTTGGTCCCTAAAACTTCCAATGTTATTGTAAAACTCTACATCATATTAATTATTACTACTATATAATAATATATTAATAGCAAATTGCATGTTAATAAATTATTTATGGAAAGAGTATAAAAGATAGAATTGTTCTAAAATTATACCCTGACACTCCCTTTTTTTGATATTATAGTCTAATCATAACTACACTAAATTAATTATTATTGTTAATTAATTATATTATATGCCACATCAAGTTTGTCTAACTTGGTCCATAAGACGTCTAATGTTATTGTAAAACTCTACATCATATTAACTATTACTAATGCATAATAATATATTACGAGGCAAATTGCATGTTAATAAATTATTTATGGAAAGAGTAGAAAATATAGAATTGTTCTAAAATTGTACACTGACACTCAATTAGAAAAATTACAAAAACTTTCTATGGACTATATTACCCTAATCTTTTTTGATTTTACATTCTAATCCTAACTAAACTAAATTAATTATTATTGTTAATTAATTATATTATATGACATTTCAAGTTTGTCTAACTTAGTCCCTAAAACTTCCAATGTTAATGTAAAACTCTACATCATATTACTAATGTATAATAATATATTAATAGACAAATTGCATGTTAATAAATTATTTATGAAAAGAGTAGAAAATATAGAATTGTTCTAAAATTATACCATGACACTCATATAGGAAAAATACAAAGAGTATTTTTACGTTTAGGTAACAGGGCAGACGGTACAAACATGTTATTTTAGAAAACATTAGGATATTTAAGTGCAGCAAGATATAAGTAGAGGTGTATAACTTTTGTACTATAAATTAATTACAAGTTTGTCTAATTTGGTCCCTAAACCTTTCAATACTATGTAAACTCTACATCATATTAATTATCACTAATGTATAATAATATATTAATAGACAATTGCATGTTAATAAATTATTTATGGAAAGAGTAGAAAATATAAAATTACCCTAGAATTATAACATGACACTTACATATGAAAATTACAAAGAGTATTCTTGCGTCTAGGAAACAAGATGGAAGGTATAAATATACAATTTTAAAAAATATTAGGATATTTAAGTGCAACAAGATACATGTGGATGTATATAACTTTCATAAACTATAAGGTATTTAAGTTCGATTAAGTCTATAAAGATTTAAAACATTTGTTAACCACAAATAATTGTATGTGATCCTATTGATAAATAATATTTATCATATAATATAAGGCTAGATGCTTAGCTTATATTTATATAGTAGAGAAGGTGTGGAAAAATTAAACATCATATTTTAAATAATCCCAAGATTTTGAATTATTTTCTAAAATTATATACATTGCTTAGAAAACTTTAGAAGAGGCTTTCAAAGGACTACTACAAAGTGTTGGGCATCACATAAGTATTGGACAACTAAAATCTATGATATCAAATTGCAGAAATTGGTGATATGTAAAAAATACTAGGTGTCACATGAGATAATATTCATACATAATATAACATTGTAAGCTATAATCTAACATATTAATAAATTTTAAATATAAGAATTTGCATGAAAATATATGCTTAAAATGTGGGAGAGCCGAGAGTAGAGAGATTTTGGGGACAAATTGTGAACTTTCGTGGGTTTCACTTTTAGTTCCCAAACATGACCGAAACCCTAGCACATAATCAAATTTAAAATGACTTGATTTTGTTGATATCTTCAAATGGATGTACAGCCAATATTTTTTATAACGATCGATATATTAGGAAAAAATCCCCAATTAAAATAAAACAATACAAAACCATAAATTTTATCGAGTAAGGTCTTTAACCTGATCTATCGGCCAATATAGTGATATACCAGCCGATGTTTAATACATTGTCTATAAGAGCAATATTTAAAGATAATTTAGATATAAGTTCCTTGATCTTAGAAGATCTTCAATAATTTTATATTATTCCCTTAAAATTTTGAAATTGCTTATAATTTAAGGGACTAATATTGAATTATTAAAAAATTAAGGGATAAAAATGTGAACAAGCCAAATTTTAAAAAAGTTTTTTTTTTTTGAAAACTCTCTCAGCTATGGGGATTGTCTCAAAAAAACCCACCCGATTGATTTAATTTGGCAAACATCCTAGCTATGAGGGTGTTGTAGATAACCTCTTTTAACTTTAGTGCGATTTTAGAAAACACCTCTCGATTATAGAGTGTCTCATAAAAACTCCCCTAATCTTTTACACTTTTCTCAACAAAACCCCTTAATGTAGTTACTTGAATATGTGATTTGGAGAAAATACCCTTTTGAAGAAAGCTATTTTAGTTAAAAAAAAAACTCCCAACCGATAATAAAGGGATTACTACCAATTTATAAGTCTTTTTTCCTTCTATATCTCCTCTTTTTCTTTAATCTAGCAAAAGCCAAGCTAATTGCTTTATGGTTGAGAGATATTTTGGTCTTTCCAAATCAAATACTTATCATATAATAGAATAGACTCAATGATATTAGTTCTGAGCGATTAAGTGAGAAAAGTTTATAGGATTAAATCAAAAAATTAAACTTGAGAAAGATCAGTTGAGAAAGATTATCTACAACACCCCAAATTTGACAAAGATTTACTCTGTTTCAAGTCAGTAATTTCATGACCAAAGGCCAGGTTTCGAGGTTTGTCACCCATCTCCCTTTAGTATCCTACTAACTTGGTGACTGGATGGGGTAGGACCGTAGGGGGCCCAGTTCACCCATGCTCATGGTTTACTAGTAAGGGTGGAGGGCTCAAACTCGAGCCTTGGCTCAGGAATCCGCCTTACTAGGTTTTCCTCATATCCAAAAAATAAGTTAAGGGTTTTTTTTTTTAACATTGCCTCACATAGTTAAGAGGGATTTTCTAAAATTAACCCTTAAAATGCAACTTAAGGCACATGTGACATCAATCTTATAAAACAAGATTTTATTGCAAGTATATCACTCTATGAACTGAGTTGGGTTATGTGTCCTAAGATTTATCATATACATCAACTCTAAAAATCTTTTGCTACAAGAATCTCTAAGAGAAATTTAATCTTTATTTGTGAAGGGTATGTGATCCTTCTGATTCACCTTGTCTCTCATGATTTGTAATATAACTATTTGATAAAATAAATTAAATTGTTTATTTTTATAGTTCTCACCTTCTTATAAGCTTATGAAGCACGTAGCTTGGGTATGAGCATTGTTGCGAATAATGGATTCATATAACTCTCAACCTAAAATTTTGAATGTTGTTTGACATTGGATAGATCTGAATTATTTGTTAAAATACAATCCATAGTGCATAATATGTATAAATCATTCTCATATTATATTTTATAATTTTTTGAAACTAGAGAGTAATCATTTTGACAAATCGATTAATTAGTTGGGAAGATGTAGAAAGACTACAATATCAGAATTTAGAATTGATCATATAATTTATGTTTTCTTTATTGATTGAATTTACACATTCTGACGAAGAAAATTCTAAAAAAATATTTTTGAATATCTATAATACTTAGTCGCCAGATAAATAATAGGTGAAAGTAAACAAAAGGTGAAAGTGATTTCTTTGTAGTTAAATAAAATCTTATATGACCAGATGAAACCTACCATTTTATTTTAATGAATTCAAGAATTTATTTTTATCATTAATAATAATAGTTTTTTTATATTGGTCCCTTACATCATTAATATTTTGAAATTAGATCTTCAAATCATTAAATTGCTCTTAAGTAATTAATATTTTAAGTCTTTTTTTGTAGAAGGCAAAATGTTGAAACCAACAAGATATTATAAATGGAAATATCCAAAAAAATTAATATATTATCATAATCATAAACTTTATTTTGCAAACATGTTATAGTAAATAAATAAATTTAAAATAAATAATTTAGATATTTAACCACGTGTAATGCACGTGCATTCCACCTAGTATGTGGAAAATTTTATGTCAACTTAAGTGGATAGGAAGTAGTCATCCACCAACTTTTCTATCCATTGATGTTGCCTTGGGATCTGTGAAAGATATGAAGAATCTTTTGAGATTTGTGCTTCTTTTGATGGCAAAAATGTAAATGCAAGATAAGTGGATAAAAAGTTTGGTGGATAAGGCCTTATATCCACTTAAGTTGACATAAGCTCATATATATATATATATATATATATATATATATATATATATATA